AAATATGGTAGAGAAAGTATTTTCTAACTGTATTTATAAAAATACAAAATTGATTTATAAATGTTTTTATTCTGAAAGGGTGAAACTGCAAGTATCACAAGTGCTTAGAGTTAGTTTCCACTAATCTTTTATCTGTTTAGAGTTAGCAAAGCTAAGATTCTTGTTTAGTGGATTAGTGGTTAGCATTAGCTTCCACTAATTTTATATCTGTTTAGCGGTTTAGCATTAGCATAGCTAGGATCCTTGTTTTGCGGATTAGTGGCTAGCATTAGCCTCAACTAATTTTTATCTTAGTTTAGAGGATTAGTGGATAGTGAAGCTAACTTTTGGTTAGCTGTGCCTCCACTGTATCTGAGCTGTAATGTTCACAACACAAAAGCTAAATATTAAAAKCCTGACTGAAGGACTTACGGAGTCTCCAGGTATCCCAGGGTCCCCTCTGACACCACGAGGTCCACTTCCTCCCTTTGACATCATGAGGACAAAAACAGACATGTTGGTGTTCCTGACCAGCTGAAGGGTTTCAAATAAATTTAGTGAAATAAATCGTTTACCTGAAGACCTGGTGACCCTGGTGGTCCAGATGTTCCTGCTGGTCCAGAGTCCCCCTGGAGAGAAGAATGAGAAATTATCACAACCAGCCGATGAGGACAGTCCAGAAGGAAATCATGATTAAATCAGACAGTATTTAATTAAATAGATGTCAAAGCAAACAGCTGGACTCAAWTGTCCAACTAGAGGTTTTGTCACTTTTAAAATAAAATAATTAAAGCTTCTGGATTATATGTTACCTTTTCTCCCTGAGGTCCAACAAGACCTGGAGGTCCCCGTGGACCTGAGACTCCCTAAAACATGATAAACAAAACAAAAAAAAACTTTAGAGCTAACTAACCAGATCGATCAGTAAAAATCAGATTTTTTCTGAAGCTTAATTCAAACTCTGACAAACAGCTTTATGGATCACATGGATACATCCAGGTAACAAACTCACCTGAAGTCCCAGGAGACCTGCAGGACCCAGGTCTCCCATCAGACCTGGTTCACCCTGTTCARCAAGACAGTCCACATTAAAATCTGCTGACAAGTTTGGTTTTAACTAAAGAAATGTAAACGCTAMGTGATGAAACTGTTGTGAAAAYTAGAAGAARCCGAACACTAGCTAAAAATGTAAAATGAACAAAACGCTTGCTAAAWGTGGCAAAAGGCTAAAATCACAGCAACAAAAGTAGCAAAAGGTTAACTGAAACGTAAATGTAGCAAAAGGCTAGCTAAATGCCTGAAGTGGCAGAATAGAAGCTAAAAACTAAAATATCAAAAGGCCAGTAAAGCTCAAAATACTAGATAAAAGCCAAATTAGCTACAATGTATCTAAATAAGCAAAAGACTAGCTAATTTCTATTATCCATCCATCCATCCATC